ACACACACACACACACACACACACACACATATGGGCAAAGCTACTCAACTCAAATAGAATTTAAATGCACAGGCTTCATTGTACTTGCATTATTTTATTTTATTTATTTTTGAGACAAAGTTTCACTCTGTCACCCAGGCTAGAGTGCAGTTGCTCAATCTCGGCTCACTGCAACCTCCATCTCCTGAGGTCAAACAATTCTCCTGCCTCAGCCTCCTGAGTAGCTGGGATTACAGGTGCTTGCCACTATGCCCAACTAATTTTTGTAGTTTTAGTAGAGGTGGGGTTTCACCATGTTGGCCAGGCTGGTCTCAAACTCTTGACCTCACGTGATCGACCCGCCTCAGCCTCCCAAAGTGTTGGGATTACAAGCATGAGCCACCACACCTGGCCACTAACATTATTTTATAACCACCAAGCCTAGCAACCACAGGCCATAAAAGGCCGTAGTGGATACCAGCAGGAAGGTAGTAAAGGGAGTGATTAAGGAGAACGTCCCAGAAGGAAAACAAGCAGGGAATGAGGAGGAAGCTGCTGTAGCTGCATAGGCTGTGGGCCCAATTACAGGTCCTTCCATGATCAACCGGCGGATGAGACAGAGAGATCCCCAAGAGTGGGAGAGATCCTGCACTGGGAGAGGTGTCCAGGCATAAAACTGATTTCCAGGAATCACTGGGTGACTAGGAGACATTTATCTAACGTACTGAGGAGCAGAATGAGCAACTGAATAAAGTGGATTATAAATGCCACGTATCACGGTTAATACACGTTTCTTATTAGGGAAGGACCCAGGCCTGGCCCCTCAGTCTCTCAGGTGGGAACTGATTGCTTTTCATCTATACCCCTAGAAATTTTATTGTTACTGCTCTGGACAGGCTATCTGAAGTGATAGATGCTGAACTAAAGAACACAGGAGAGGCCAATGGAGAGGAGATGCATCAACGCCAGAACATTTATGTCTACTATTTCCTAAAGATTTCTGGTGCTCTGCGTCTTTTCAACAACTGCAATAAAGCTTTATTTGAGGAAGAAAACTTCTAGACTAACTGTTAGCTAAGTGAAGAGGGTAACCAAATTTGCACTCTTATCTTGGTTTTTCGCCCCATACCTAATTTAATGAGCAGGCTATGAAGTACCAATGTGGTCACCGGGATAGGGAAAGGAAGGCAGCTCAGTTTCTCAGGCTTCCTCCGCCACTGGCATGTCTCTGGTCCCAGTTTTCCACCTTCATTTTAGGACACTGTGCCCAGTTATGCCAACCTCCAAGGAAGAGCAACTCTTTTTTTTTCGGAGACAGAGTCTCGCTGTGTCACCCAGGTTGCAGTGCAGTGGCAGTCACTGCAACCTCCGCCTCCCGGGTTCAAGCGATTCTCCTGCCTCAGCCTCCCGAGTAGCTGGGACTACAGGCATGTGCCACCATACTCAGCTAATTTTTTTGTATTTTAGTAGAGACAGCGTTTCACCATGTTGCCCAGGCTGGTCTCGACTCCTGAATTCAGGCAATCTGCCCGCCTCGGCCTCCCAAAGTGCTAGGATGACAGGCATGAGCCACTGCATTGGGCCGAGCAACAAATTAGGTTACAATATCAGTGACAGCCTCAGTGTGATAAAAAATCAGAGACAGGGCTTTATGGAGGGGATGGGCACTAGGAGTAAGGTGACAAAGCCCCAGACCACTTAAAGGGGCAGAAAGTATTAATGTGGGGGTGGAGAAATACAGTCAAATATTTTGTATTATAAAGTTTTAGGGCAATCTGCTCTAGACATTTTTTAACATTTCTGCCCTTTACAGACCCACCTTTTGGCAACATTTTATTTCAAACTTAAACACCCAAACACATACACGTTCTCTTTCTCTTATTTCTGAAAATTTTTCCTTTACACATATGCAACGTTTGGAGAAAGTACTTTTTTCCTCTTGAATTCATTCTCAGTCTCCTTCAAATAAGCATTTCATTACCTTTACAAGTTTTGACTGTAGATGAGTAAAGTTGACTGGCTTCTCGTCAGTTCTTAGTGACTCC